TGTAATCATCACTTATGTACAAATACTTCCCAGCCCTTCTTTCAGGCTCAGATAGAAGCGTCCCCATTCTGCCGTCCCAGCCTCCTTCGCCCCCACCCAGCCTTTCTCTCTTTGCCCTCCCTGTGCCGCCATTTTCTTCTCTGTGTCCATCCTGTCCACCAAATTCAGAGCTTTCCTTTCTGACTTTCCTTCCTCACGCGCGCCACAAGCTGTGTGGTCCTGTCAGGTTAGCCTCAGAAGCACCTCCAGGCTGTGACCATCTGTCGTCTGCGTCACTCTCCACACTGTAGATATTGTACAGGCTGTCTTGTGCATTGTGGGGTACTTAGTGACACCCTGGCCTTGACCCATGTAACCGTGACTTTTCCCAGTCATGACAAATGTGGCTTCAAACATTGCCATATATGCCCAGTCAGCACCATCACCCAGGTTGAGGGCTGCTGTTCTAGATTATTCCAGAACCTTCTTAGAATGTTCGTCATCCTGTAGCCATTAGTACTGCTCCCCACTCCCCCTTGTCTCAGCCCCTAAACAAATGATATTTATGTTGAGAAAAGGCTGAAAAGCTGTTTATTTCTTCATCACTGAAAACAAATTGCTCTCTGTGCAAATTTTATTTATTTATTATATTTATGTATTTTGTACAGGGTCTCACTACCCAGCTTGGACTGGTAGTGTTCCTCCTGTTTTCAGCCTCCACAGCCCTAGGATTACAGGCGTGTGCTACCATGCCTGGACTTGGTTGCCCTGAGGGCGGGGCTGGGGCCGGTGCTGCCTGCAGTACCAGTACTGGTACCAGTATTGAGCATAGAACCCCTGTCCCTGTAGTTGCCTAAGCAGGTGCTTAGTTTGTCTCTGGTTTTAAACCCAGTTTGAAAATATCATATAGTGTCATTCATGAAAGATACTGGTTTGAAAATGACAGTTGTTGAAGAAAGTACTTAAAATTCCCTTTTTAATGCTTTTTATATTTGCAGGTGACATCAAGGGTCAGCACACGGAGACTCTGCTGGCCGGCTCCCTCGCCAAAGCCTTGTGCTGTATCCTTGGCACCTGTGCGGTGCAGACCCGTATTCTGCTGTTAGTAGTTGGGGTGTCTGTGTTCATGGGAAGTCTGTATTTTTAAAAGTGGAAGATACTAAAAGGGCTTAAAATTGTGGCTTTGAATATATTTTTAAATTTATTTATTTTTTCCTCTTTGAGAGAAAATCTTGCTAAGCGGTTTGTAGTTTAGGCTGGCCTTGAACTCACTAGGTAGCCTAGGCTGGCCTTGAACTCAGGGTGATCCTCCTAAGTACTGGAGTACTAGCTATGTGCCGCCACACCTGGCTTCCCTAGGTCTGTCTTGTTGCTGGGGTTTTTTTTGGCGGAAGCGGGGATTGAACTCAGGCCCTTGTGCTTGCCAGGCGAGTGCTTATTCTACTGAGCCATCTCCCTGGCCTTGTTGTTGGTGTTTTGAGACAGAGCTTGCTGTGGAGCTCAGGCTGGTGACAAACTCACTATGGAACTGAGGCTGCCTGACCTCACATTTGCAGCGATCCTCCGGGCTCAGTCTGCCTGGTGCTGAGATTGTACGCGTTGCTACCATGCTTGGTTCAGTTGACTTTTTTAGACAGAACTAAGTGATTTCTGTGTCCTAGACTTTGGTTCTGGTCTGCTCATGTCAGCTGGTGGTCTTCGGGTGCCTGTGTGGTCTCAAGTATTCAAAAGTTGGCAGTGGTATCTAATACAGGGTAAGCATGTGTTGGCTGTTCCAGTCACCTGGGACAAAGGTGGCATTCTGATGAGATGACAAAGCTTTGTTGATTGCAGAATTAGTAACTGAAGGGCCTACGGCGATAGCGCACTAGAAATAAGCGCTTGCCTGGCAATGCAGGGTCCTGAGTTTAATCCTCGGTACTGCCAAAAAAAAAAGAAAAAGAAGTAGTAATTGAAAACCCTGATCACTTGCATGTATCTGGCATGGTAAATGGAACACTTCCTGTCTTTTTAGCTAAGAGGATGCTCGGTTTATTTTACTAAAATTTGGTTCCTATAAATGTTTATGAAGAAAGTATTTTTATATTCCTTAATGCAAAGAAATTAAGATATTCATAGAATGACCAAAGAAGTTAAAGGTAAATGTTTGCATTTTTCTCTGAGAACTATAATTTTGTTTATTTACTATTATGTGTTTGGTGGAGTATTTAAGAATTGGTTAAAAAGTTAATAAATTACATTTTCAGTTAATAGTACCTAGAACCTTCTATGTTTAATAGGCTACATTGTTATTTAAATTTTAATGTTTTTATCTCTATAGATAATCAGGAGATGAAATCAAGGATATTGGTAAGATTTCAAACATCACCAGGGCGGGACGTTCCTCAGCAGCGCAGTGCCTGCCTGCCTGCCTGGCAAGCGCAAGGTCCCGAGTTTGATTCTGGCACCAAAGAAAAGATCAGCATGTTTATGTACAACTATAGACAGTGAGAAACTATAGGAGAAGAGACAATAGGAACGAGAACCAGGTAGGACAGACGCAAGGGGCAGAACAATTTATTTATTTCTTGTCTTTTTTTGAGACCGGGTCTTGCTCTGCCGTTCAGGCTCACCTTGAGCTCATATTGTAGGCCAGGCTGTGGCAGAACTGATTTAGCACCCAATGTATTATGAAGAAAAACAAATTGTAAGAGGAATAAATGAATAAAGGGAGAGCCACAGTTTGTTCTTAGATGTCAGTTTTTCCAAAATTTAATAAATTTTGTGAATTTAGTACAGTCTCACTCAGAAAATCAGTGAAATTGTTTTTGTCCTCATAGGATGAAGAGCTTTTTTAAAAAGCAACAATTTGGCTGGAAGAATAAATTACAGAGTAGAGCAGCTTGGGAAATCCGTGCAAGGGATCCTGGGAAGGATCTGCCTGAGTGAAGGGAAGGCAGTGGAGCTTAGCACTGTCATTGCTGCCACTGGGGGATTTGGCCCAGGCTCACTGCACGGTGGGGATGGCTTGTTCTCACACCCGCTGACAGGAAGGTGGCTTCTTTGGAGGGTTGTTTGGTGTCTGTAAAAAACTGAAATGTGCATCAGGCATAGTGGTGCACAACTGTGATCCTAGCACATCTGTAATCCCTCACAATGCGGATTGTGAGGCTGAGGCAGGAGGATCTCTACAAGTTCCAAGCCAACCTGGGATACAGAGACCCTTCTCAAACAAAAAACAAACCAAAATGTGCATGCACTCCCCCCCCCCCCCCGAACCAGGGATTGAACTCAGGCCCTTACGCTTGCCAGGCAAGTGCTTATTCCATTGAGCCATCTCCCCGGTCCCATGTGCGTGCACTTTAGCAGTCACTGATTATTTATGGGAACTAGAGCGTGATTGTGCCCAGGGTACATCAGGATGTTATGAGGAGAACATTGCTTTAAACTGAGCCAGGCCCCTGGACATTCACTGGGGTCTTTAGACAGCAAACCTGCCCTCTTACTGAGTGCCACCGAGGGCGTTTTCTGCCACTGACATCAGATCTTTTGCCACACACTGTGGGCTCAAAAAGCAGGCTTGGGACCCTCGATCACATGGCGCCCCCTCACCTGTGTGTACCTCAGTCCCCATACAGCTGGTTGGACAGATGGTCGCCAGCCTTCCAGGGTCTGTCCAGGTGGCAAGGTGAGGGGTGGGCTCTCGTCTTCCCACACTAGGGTTACAGGGACTAGAAGGCAGGGGCCGGCAGGCAGGCATCCCTGGGGTGCCGACTGCTGCGGATTTCAGGTGATCAAGGCGGCGGAGGACAGCGCGCTGCAGTACATGAACTTCATGAACGTCATCTTTGCGGCGCAGAAGCAGGTGAGTTGGGCCTGCTCTGTGCAAAATGTGTGTTTCCAGCTGGAAGCATCCCTTTCTGCATTGGAATAACGGCCAGAGAGGATTGTGGCTCAGGAGCCCACCTTGGGGACTGCTTCTTTTGCTGTTTGCGTCCTGGGCCCCCAGAACAATATGGGGCCACACGGTTTTGTTTTTTGGCGGAACCAGAGATTGAACTCAGGCCCTTGTGCTTGCCAGGGAAGCGTTTATTCCACTGAGCCATCTCCCTGGCCCTGGCCACACGGTTTTGAGCACACAGGTGAACACCTGCCCTAGGGCCCCCAGGCAAGTCCCTGGCTTGACAGTCTGTGCCTGAGCCTGGCTTTAGCGTCTCATCTTACTTCAGTGATGCGCATAACATTCAGTACTTTTACTTTGTCAATAAGTAAAATGTGCCAATGAATTATAATGAATATATTTTTTTCTCTGATGTTTATTTTTATTTATTTATATTTATTTATTTTTTGGTGGAACTGGGGATTGAACTCAGGCCCAGGCAAACACTTATTCTACTGAGCCATCTGCCCGGCCCCTGATATGCTTTTTTTAAAAAAGAAAACCTTCTCTAAACTTAAGTTCGGGTTTTAAGACAGGATCTTCCCTGGCCTTGAAGTCACGGTGTAGCCCAGGCTGGCCTAGAACTTGTGGTAACCCTCTTGCCTCAGCCTCCTGAGTGCCGGATCATGGATATGTGCCACTGTGCCGGGCTCTAAGCTTCAACTTTAGGGGCTTGCGGGTTAGCTCAGTTGTTTAAAGTACCTGTTTGGGCAAACTCAGGCTCAGGGGACTATGGTTCGATCCCCAGCTCCACATGCCTCACCAGAGCTGCCCTTAAGGCAGCCTGAGCCAGCCAAAATAAACTAACAAACAGACTTCAACTTTAATGCAAGATGCTGCTGCACCATGCATGATACTCTCTATCAGAGCGGGGCCCTGTGATACAGCGGAAGGGGACAGTGGGGGACGGCACTGTCCCTGCTGCCTCTGTTTCAACAGCCAGGCCAGGACCGGAACCCTAAGCTACCAAATGCAGCCTGACCCTGGTAGCAGCCTCCAAGTCCCCACGGGTGTTAAGTGAGGCAGTTCAGCACAGAGTCAGTGTGGTAACTGCTGTCACTGATCAATCATTTTGGAATGTCCTTTGCAGAATATTTTGATTGATGCCTGTGTTTTGGACTCCGACTCAGGACTCCTCCAGCAGGTATGTTTTCAAAGAGTGCTCAGTGTTGGTACTTATGGAAAGTCATTTTTACATTGAATCGTGAAAGAGCAGTACTATTTTGAATAAATTGAGCTGGTTTTAAAGTCAGTTTTAAAGGCTGGCGAGATGGCCCAGCAGACTAAACACCTATTTAGGCAAGTACTGGGACTGGGGTTTGATTCTGCACGCTGGCCCTGCCGCCAGGCGTGCTGAGCTGGCCACAGAGACTGGGCATGGTGGTGCACACCTGTAATCCCCACACTGGGGAGGCTAAAAACGGGATGGTCACTACACGTCCATGTTGTATAGCAAGACCCTGTACCAAATGCTTATAAAAAATTTTTTAAAAAGTCAATTTTATGTACTTTTGATTTGATTTGAAACTGTCTCATTGCTATATGTTTATCAATAAAACTTTGGAAAAATAAAAAAAAAAAAAAATAAAAAGTCAATTTTATGTATTTTCCCTTTTTCTATGTGGCTGCTGGAAGAGCGTTTTGTTCTGAGACAGCATCTTACTCTGTAGCCCCAGGTGTCCTTGAACTCATGGCGAACCTCCTGTCTTATCCTCTCAAGAGTGCTGGGATTACAGGCACGAGACACCATGAGCAGCTTATTTGTAATTGATGGCAATAAAATTGTACATACTTGTGGGTGCAGCGGAGCAGATCTTTATACATATGCAGTGTGTAATGAGCAGATCAAGCAATTGTCATTTTTATTGTCATTTAAGCATATCACACATTATTTTTTTTTGTCGTACCAGTGATTAAACTTAGGACCTTGCGCCTGCCAGGCAGGAGCTTATGCCACTGAGCTACATTCCCGGCCCTCATACATTATATATACATTTTTGCATATTAAAAATCAGACCGTTGACTAACTTTTAGCAACACCTTTCAGTCCACAGTTAACTCTAGCGTTCTTCTGGAGTTTGGAAAACTAGCACTGCGCCTGGCAGCCTTGGGTGACCACTGCTGGCGGGTGTGGGTCAGCTCCTTCTGCCCGCGGCCCTGCCCATCCTCTTCCTGCATGCACAGTGGCTCTTCTCACCTCCAGCCTGAGGCTTGCCTGTGAGCACACTGATCTGGGCTTTTGTGCTGGGCCTCTCCCTCCCCAGAGGCAGCTTTTGTTTCATAGGTTGGGCCATGTAGTTGGTCGAGTCCAGACCTGACCCTGGGCTCAACCTCTCCTTTCACATCTATGGCAAATCTCGTCTTCCCAGGTTTCCCCTGGCGGATCTTCAGTGGTCCATCCACAGCTTCCTGTTTCCATGCTTGGCCTTCCCGCCAGAGCTGGGCCTCACCACAGTGAGAGGCGACTGCATTGTTCCTTTGCTGCAGACCCTCTCACCACCCCATTCCTGTGCATTAACACCAGAGCCCTCGCCATGGCTTCCGGACCTGGCACATTGGGCGCCTGGGGACTGCTTGCCCTGGCTGGAGCACACAGGCGACTCCTGGCCTGGCCTGCTGTTGCCAGTGCTCCCGCTGCCTGCTGCCCTCAGGTCCTGCACGGCCTGTCCCTGCCTTCCTGCAGCCCCTGGGACCTGCTGACTCCTCAGATGGAAGTGGTCACAGCCTGCATCAGCGCCTGTCCACCTCCTCCTTGTGATCACATGAGCTGCGACTTTGTGGCAGCACCTCCTCTGTGTTTTGCAGGCTTGTGACATCACAGGAGGGCTGTACCTGAAGGTGCCCCAGATGACGTCTCTGCTGCAGTACTTACTGGTAAGGACAGGACAGCGTTTGTGGAGCTGCAGGGTCAACGCTGGATGAATCCTTAGAAGGCTGTGTGCAGTGTGTGGTATGACTGGATTTGACAGCACTTGGACGTGCACCTGCTTGGTAACTGGTGATAAGTAAAAATGCATTTCATCATCAGCAGTGGTGGTGCAGGCCCATAATCTCAGAACAGGAGGATCTCGCATTCCTGCCCAGTTTGCATAGCTTGGTGAGAGCCTGTCTCAACAACAACAACAAAAAGATACTGGGGGTTTTAGCTTGTTACGAAGGATCTGGGTTTACTCCTCAGTACTGGGGGACAGGGAGCCCAGACTTTTATAAATTTTTTTTTTTTTTTT